TAAAGGTTCTTTATGGAACCATTTAGACAAAGGTTCTTCTATGGCATCGTGAAGCACCTTTATTTTTAAGAGTGTAAGTGTGACTTTCACACATTTCACAATGTGTCTGCATTTCTCATTTCTTTAATTTCGACTTTCTCATAATTGGTATTATCACACACAATTGTGACTTTATATCTCAATATATTTCTTAATGATGGTTCAGATCTCACATTTGTGACTTCATGTCTCGTAATTGCAACTTTTTGTCTCATGTAGCTACTTTTATTACTAATTTTATATCTCACAATTGCTACTTTTTATCTTACAATGTAACTATTTCCTATAATAAACTTCATCTGAAAGTTACCTTTCTCAACAACTTTAAAACAGGAAGATTTTCTCACCATTTTTCAACTGCTTGGTAGCTGTTGTGGCTTGCCACCACAATTTTACGAGTTTAAGTAGAGCTTTGATTGCCTCAGCAAACTAGTGAAACCTGACTCATCTATTGAGCTGCACAGAAAAACACATTTTTAAACAGTAGTTCAGTTTTTTTATATGGCACAGAACATTTTGTTCCTGCTTATGATTTTGTTCAATGATGTTAAAATTATTTTATTTTCAGATACTCATTTCTGTTTCAGCAAAACTAGGAGGTGTCTTGAAGTGTGTGTCTGGAGTGTCTAGCCAAGACAATGTGGTGTTTGCTTATGAAGTGTGTTCCAGTGAGGGTGTGTTTTCTGAAGAAGAGAAGTTTGGGCACGTTCTGACCTCAGCATCTGTGATTCAGAGCTTCTGTGATTCTCAGCTATTGCATATAGGTGGCACTTCATCTGTGTTCCAACTAACGGTGGAGAAAAAAACATCTGAATGTTGAAAAGACCTTTTAAAAATCAAAAGCAGACATTTATCCATGGAACGTGTTTTTTTTTTTTTTTTTTTTGGCTAAATACTTTCTCACACAATTTTCTCATTAAATGTAAATGGTTTAAACTTTCATTATTTTGAAGTTTATTTTTTCTTTTAATTAGATTTTTTTTTTTTTTGATTAGCAGAACCTTAAGTGACAACAGATGGAATTAATAGATAACCTCAGGCTCTCAGTCTCTGATCTTGTCAATTGAAATAAGTACTCCGCAGTATGCTTGTCATATCCTCTTAATTTTTCAGGCACAAATGGTGTGCCACAAGGCTTCTGAGAAGAAAGATGTCTCTTCATATTTTAATTTAGTTTTATTCTGATGTCATTTTTAAAAAATCATTCAAATCCTTGTCTTCACACTACATAAATGCTCAATTTCTCACTGTTTTAATTCTGCTGTAATCATATTCATCCTTGGAGATAATGGTATGCTTTAGTCACACTGGAAAATGTTTTCCACCATCTGGAGATGCTAGTCAGAGTGACCTCAGATCATTAGAGAAATCTTCTCCTTATTCTGGAGGATTGACCTTTACAGAGGTTACTAGGGCTGTGCAATTTATCGAAATATAGCAAATGTACATATCACAATATGCATATCGCTACGGCTTGCAATATTTGGGGCCATGAACAAAAGACAAAAGAGAAAATCACTCACTGCTCTTACCTAAATAACTTTTGTAGCTTAAATAAGAATCAGTGCATATTGAATTCATAGAGTAAATACTAAGCAGTGTTTTTCCTTTTTTATTATTCAGTTCCTAAACTCATGTTAAAATGATTACACTAATGTTAAAATGACATTTTTATGTAATGCTAGAGTAAAACACTACCCTTCACTTTCAGAAGTTGTTTTAGGGGTGCTTTCTTCTCACAAAAAGTGAAACATGTATGCTAGTTATTAAAATCAGAATGAGCTTTATTCACCACTTAATTGTGCGCAAACACAAGGAATTTGTTGTGGTTTTACAGGAGCTCTTGATACATACACACATACAAATAACCATATATACAGGTGCATCTCCATAAATAAATTCAATAAATTTCCCCCAGTGCATGGAAATGGAGGGGTGGGCGATTATGGAAGAAAAATAATGACAAATGTCTTTGAAATAAAAAAAGCATGTTGAATTGCACTGAAAAACTGAAAAGAATAATCCTGTTGAAAGTTATACATCGTATTTTTAAACAGATTTAATATTTTGGAGGTGAACTTTGGAAGGTGAATTTGAATTATTGAATTTATGAAAATGTGTGTGAAATTTTTTGAATTTAAATATTCACAGTTTAAATAAACACCTATGTTAAATTTCAGCCCCTAAAAATGCAAGCCCTAAAAATACAAGGCATTAAAAATGCAAGCTCTGTTAATGCAATGCATTATTTTTTCAGTTAGTGCAATTCAACATGATTTTTTGTTTTCAAAGACATTTGTCATTATTTCTGTCAGGACCACTATCGTCAAAGATGATTGACAATTAGCATATGGTTCCGTTCTGGGCAAGAACCCCCCCCCCAGGGTAAACAGAACAGAACCAACATAAATGTATTGCAGATATTGTTAAAGTTCAATAATTTTATGTACACATTTTAGAATTAGTCTGATTCAAAGGAGAATCAGAAGGCTGAATCCTGACTGACAGAGGAGGAGTTGGGGATGGAGAAGGGTAATTAGCTATTGAGCAATGCGATAACTGCTGATACTACTGTGGGACCTTATATATGAATGCTTCGATAGGTGTCGTATTCCCATAGGTTGATGGGGATCAGCTGAGAGTCAGCTGATGCGAGCTTGACTAACGTGACCTGCCAGAACTAACGCTACGCTAGATTTGTCTTCCATAGGTGATATAGACTACCGGTAAACACAATTAACAAATTTGTCAACTATCGTCTCGATCACAGTTACATGCGCACGTGACGTTGCTGTGCCACGTGGTCACGAAAAATGTAAAGTCTACACAATTTAAGCATTGCGTTTAAAAAAAAAAAGTGATTTTAAACCATTGAAATGCAATCCGCAGCGAAAGAGAACACATTCCGCTATATGTGGCGTGCTGTCTGAGAGACTGTCAGAGTGCTGTCAGAGAAGTGCGCACATGAAGACGGTGCTCACTGCTCATAGAGTGAGGGAGTATTATTTTTGTTATTATTTTATAGGCCTTGAATGGTTAAATACACACACTTGTATGTTTTCAAAATGCCCGTCTTTGCAAGTATTCTGAAACACAGTAATGTAGGTCTTACGTGAAAGCAAATAGCTGAGAAAGAAAACACATGTGTAACAGTATATTGGAGCTCTTAATGTGACAGCAAAAATTTTGCAAAATTCCTGCTGTCTGTCATTCATGTTAACCCGAAATAAAATTTTGGTCATATCGCCCACCTCTAGGCTTCACTAATTGACTAGACAGTTGTTGGATGATTAACTGACCATCTTTACTTGTTTCTATTACTAGGTCAATAGTAGTTAATGGTGGTTCAGTTGATCAACCACCTGAACCACTTTGGGCCAGCTAGAAACTATGTAAAGCCAGCTTCTACCAGGACTTAGCTGTATTAGGGCAAAGCAAGTTGTGCTTTTTTCCAAAAAGGATACCATCTCTGTAAATGTAGTTGGAAATTAACTGATTTAGTTATATGCTTTGATTAATCTGGAGTTCTCAAAAACAAAGCTTTCTTATTTAGACTAGTCTTTTGGAAGTGCTGACTATTAATCTAGTCCATGATGTTCAAGGAAACTTCTTTAGAGAAGAGACCGTTGGTGTCATGAATGACGAAGGCTGGCATTGGCCCATGTTTTTATGCAGGGTTGTTATTGTAGCCTTGTCTGAGTCACTAAACTACAAAAAAGCCCTCTATGAATGAAGTGGAGGATGATCGCTTGATGTATCAGTTCAGTAAAGCAGCCTGTTTTAGATTTCAGTTTTGATCTCACTACTGGGAGCTGAAGATAATATTTCCTGGCTGCTCATTGGGAATGTTTCACCTCTGGGATCCCAAAGTTTATAAAGACGGAGCCAAAAATAAAAGAGCACTCAATCGCTTTGGGTGATAAAATTGGGTCATTTGGCAAGGGCAAACAAACAGTGAGGGAAGAGTTACATATGCGTGCCTGTGTTTCACTTTGACATTACAGCAGCGTTTGTCCACACAGGGTCACGGCCACTCGAAGTTTTTAGCTTTATGCACTAGTTTCTTGTCTTCCATGTAAATCCTGAGTCAAGAGTCAGAGTTAAATAAATTTGCATGTGACAAATAGCCTGCTTTTATCATCTTTTTCATCACACTACAGATGGGCGGGGCCCATATATATAAAAGTTTGCTTTGCCATTTCTGATCTGTACAGTCTTCAGATGGACCCCAGCATTAGGAAAAAGTAAATGGTTTATTTTTTTTAATGCAGATTTGTATCGCAGTTGAGGATTATATGGTTGTTCAGAGCATTGGATTATATGTTTATTCAGAGCATTTGACGTTCAGTGTATGATGCCCAGTTTTTCTTCTGTAGCTATTTACAAAGTCGCCAAGTGTTTAGACAGCAACGCAACTGACACGTTCAAGGCCCAGAAAGGTAGTAAGGGCATCGTTAAAATGGTCCATGTGACATCAGTGGTTCCTGCTTACTTTTTCCTATAATTCTACCTTTCTGGGCCTTAATCTGGTAGTTGAGTTGCTGTCTATGCAGGATCAGAAAGCGCTCGGATTTGTTTTCTGGGCATAGCCTAATTTTTCAGTGTAATCATATATTCCCCGTCGGTTCATTCTTCAGTATTATAATGTGGGAAAAGCAAAACTTATATCTGTTCTCATCCCAGTCTGGTGTGTTTTTGGCATTCGACTGATCTCCTTTTATGCAATTATTTTCTGACAGTGTTATGAAACCCTACAGTATTACAACACAATAGTTTATTGTGAAATATGACGCTTTTATGTTATCACAATTGTGATAAATGAGGATGAACTGAGCCCATTACTCTTTTCAGTAATGATTAAGTAGAACCCATAAGTCAGATAAAGTTGAGTAAGGGAACATTGTGTTCATGTTTGTGGCGGCTAGGATTGAGACTTGTGAATCATATCTTGAAATATTCAGGCATCTGTACTTCTCAGCTGTCATTGGGAGACTGAACCATTTCTCTCGGAGAATAAATAATGGAGGAGAGACTTCGAGACCAGCACCTTTGAGAGGTTCCACCTTCTGCACCTATTTCATATCTGAACATCTAAAGAAGGAAAATAACTGTATGGAAGAAGATAAGGTAATAGACTTACTATTTACTAGTATGTTTGTGACCATCTGAGAAACAGCAAATGTCATGGAAATAATACTGTCAGCCAAAATACTATAGGTATTGATGCTTAGATGAATAAGACATTTCCTTTAGAAAATATAAGAAGATTTTTATTTAATTTATTGTTTTAGAAAGTTACCACAGGTTTATGATAGTAACCACAATGTGGAAACTATGTATTTTCAAAACCGTCGAGTCAATGCGATGCCTAATTTGGTCTTAAGGAAACCTTGAATAATCAGTCTGGTTTCAGGTTCACCTGAACATGGATGTGTTTACATTGTATATATTGTAACAGCTACTGTAGATGGACCATTAAATCCAGGAGTCACGAGTAGTAAAGATGTAAATTCTGTCTTGATTTACTCACCCCCATTTCTTCTCAATCCTGTATGAATTTTTTCTTCTCTCCGAAGAAGATATTGTGAAGATTGTCTTATGCAATGAAAGTCGATGGAGTCCCAAACAAGTCTAGGCCCTACTGACTTTCCTTGTATGGACAAAAAAAGCACTGAGACACTTTCAAAATATCTCCTTTTCTCTTCCATAGAGGAAAAAAATGAATTTCATTGATACATGGGTGAGTAAATGATGACAATTGTAATTTTTGTGTGAACTATCCCTTAATGTAAGTTGCAACATGACTTTATTTCATAATGTTGTAGATCAAATTGCATGATAAATGATTGTTTTCTTTGTTTAGTGATTTGATAAGAAACTGAAATGAGGGCATAGTGATGTTCTCTATAAAGGCTGCCTTGTTGTGGATTACTTGGGTTTTTCCTTGTTATTGTTTCGGTGTTTCATTTTTTGTATATATTTTTTAATATATATAAAATTATAATAAAATAACAGAATTAAATTTTTGATTCCTTCGCCAAAGATTCCTAGGCCAAATATATGTAATTCCCATTTGTTTCATTAGATATCTAGTGAGTGAGGTCTTTTCTTCTGTGTTGCTCAGAGGTGGATGATGATGCCTGAGAGAAAGAGCACCAGAGATGGATGGATGTGGACGAGCGAGACAGGTTGTTACAGATTGAAGGGAGGGTGATGTAAGACCTCTGAGCTCGACCAGCAAAATCAACTTTCTTTGGCATCTCTGTTCTTGAGATACAGAAGGCTGCAGTGGTGCATTATCAAGCCATCACTACTTCATCCCGTTTAACTTATCAAGCGGAAACAGCCAAGACTTTTTATGGAAATGATGAATGAGTGCTTAAGAGCTATTTGACTTCTGTAGCACTAAGGGGAATTTTTTTTATTCTGTGCTTATGCTCTGTGCAAATAACATTTGATTGTCTTATGCAAAACCTGTATTCTCTCAATATGCAACCTATTAAGGTGAGTGCTGAAGAAAAGTATTAAACTTTGCTGTGTACCATTACATAATTTGTGATATGGACTAGGGATGCACGATATTATCGGACTGATATCGGAATCGGCCGATAATGGCTTTAAATGTAAATATTGGCATCAGCCCGATATGAAACATTATGCCGATATGTCTTGCTGATAGGAGGAATGCAATAACCCGCATGTGCTCAGGGTGTGCTAGCGATTAGATCAGGTCAGCAGTGTGGCTCATTCTTGAAGCAAAGTTTTGTCTGAATGATGATTAGATTCACTGTTTGGATCACTGCTTTTAATCTGTGAAAGCACGTACAGAATGACCCGTTCGATGTGTGATCGAGTAAACTGTAATAGCACGTGCAGCAGCGGCAGCAGTGACAGCCTCCTCCAGGTCCTAACGCCCGCTCTGTAAGGAGTTTTAATCTGTAGGGCCGCTGTTGGCCTACTTCTAATTAAAGGGGTCATATGATGTTGCTAAAAAGAACATTATTTGGTGTAATGAAATGTTTATGCGGTTTAAGGTTAAAAAACACATTATTTTCCACATACTGTACATTATTGTTTCTCCTCTATGCCCTGCCTTTCTGAAACTCATCGATTTTTACAAAGCTCATCGGTCTGAAAAGCGAGGTGTGCTCTGATTGGCCAGCTATCTAGTGTGTTGTGATTGGCCAAATACCTCAAGCGTATGACAGAAATGTTATGCCCCTTACCATACTGTGATGGCGTGTTCCGGCCGGAGCGACGAGACAAAAACATTAAAACCCATTATAAATGAGGCATTTGTTGCATCCAGTGGGGACATAATTACGGATTATAATGATTTATACTGTCTTTTTTTCGCGTTGCATCGCGCCGCGTAAACATAAAACCATGTCTGCATTTGTGATCGGAGAAATGACAAACAACAAGCACTACTCTACACTGCTCAAAACTCGCGTTTGAATCATCAGTGGCAAACCCTTAAAATTAAAACATACTTACAGTCTGTGTGTCAGAACAGCCGGCATTGTAGTCTACTCTTCCAGGATCAGGAAACAGTCCTCCATAAAATGCGCTGCAGACATCTGAATATTTGAGTTGAACTGTTCTGGAACAGTGTTGTAAATACAACTTAACCACTGATTTCTAGTCGTGTCCTCTTTTGGAAGGCCAAACAAAGTTGTTTCACACGATGGGCTAGAGTGAGCGGAGGCAGGCTAGAGTGAGCGGAGGCCGGCTTGAGTGAGCAGAGGCGGGCGGGCTTGAGAACGGCGTGGCCGGTGGATTCGACGAAGGAGTGGCTGGCGGGCTTGCGGCAACCACATGTGACGACCCC